TGTTGTATCTGATCATTATAGCAGTCAACTCAAGTAATGCGTTAAAATAAGTTTTAATCACTCAAAGGAACACTGAAAATAAACCTAATATAATAGTTTGTAACAAGTTTCACCAGTGACATGACATAAAAATAAAAATCTTTTTTATATTAGAGTGTTATTAATTTTTTCCTGAGAAATATTGAAACTACACCCCCTTGTTTTTATCCTTATAGAAAAATGTAAAAACAACTTTTAAACCTCATTCAAAAGATTTTTTATTGCAAATAATAGAAAATGTTTTATTTTACTCCCAAGTTTCTTAATATTAAATTAAAAAAACTTTTTATTTGTAAAAAAAATTTAGTATGTAAAGTTCAAGTTTTTAAGTTTGAAATTTATATGCATTCGAAACTTTCAAAAATTTTATTATAATTTTAAAAAATATTATAAGGTTGCATTATTTTAATTATTTCATTATTTTGGCTCTGAATTTAGGTAGATATTTTACATATATCTTTAAATCAAGATGGTGCATCCTCAGAACGCCAACTGGCATTTATTGATAAAAACAAAGATCTTTTTCTAAGACCAGTAAGACAGTTTGGTTCTGAAAAAGTAGTAAAGATAGGTATATATTAAACTTTGTTCTCATTTATTTTCTGAAAAAAACTTTAGTATTTTTCAATTTAAGTTTCTTTATAATAATATAAAGATACTCGATCAAGTATTTCCTAAGAAACTCTATAATAGTATTACAGTTTTTTTATGCACATAATTATATTATGTGCATAATAATTTTTTATGATAAAATTACTTTTTTATTTAATTTAGCTGGCAATGTGAGTAGTTTGTGTTGGAATAACTCATGTAACATACTAGCTACAGTTTCTGATCACAAGCTATTTGTATGGTATAACCCTGGTGTTGTGTATGTGGACTCAGACTTGATGAAAATGACTATTTTAGAAACCGAACAAGGGTAAGTTTATTATATATATATATATATATATATATATATATATATACACACACACACACACACATATATATATATATATATATATATATACATATATATATATATATATATATATATATATATATATATATATATATATATATATATATATATATATATATATATATATATATATATAGGGTGTTACCCAGGAAAAAATTTCATACAGCGTTTTTGCGAAATTGCAAAAAAAAAAAAAAAAAAGGTCCTTACATTCTGCAATTAAATTTTTATCAAAAAAAATTTTCTATTTTTGCTGGGAGTTACATTTACAGCAGGATTATTTTTCTACTTTATATATATTTAATTTTAATTAATCAACTTGTTTCATTATGAGCAATCTTCTAAAGTTTTCATTTAAGTCCCTTCTTTTCTTTGTTTTTGATATACTGCAGCTGTTTTTCAAAATGCCTTAATTACGTATTTCGAAAAAAGCGCAATTTAAAAAAATTGAAAGAAAAAAAGAAAAATTTGAACTGAAGATTAAGTGACGTCAATAAAAATTTTAAAAAAAAGTTTTTTTTAAACTTTTGGATTAATGATCTTGTTAAGGTTAATGACGCTTGTTAATGACGACACGTTTTTACACATAAAAAAAATCAATCAGTTTAATCCATTTTTTTTGTCATGCATACTAATTTTTACTAGTCTAGCGCGACACTTTAAATCTGAGACTGACTTATTATTTATTTTTTTTACTATGATCTTATAAACCTTTGGGAATTTTAAACCAAGGCTGGTTAACACCCTGATATATAATGGTAGTATATATATATATATATATATATATATATATATATATATATATATATATATATATATATATATATATATATATATATATATATATATATATATATATATATATATATATATATATATATATATATATATAAAGTGGTGTACCCTCTAGCTTTTTCCCAGTTGCAATTGAAACAGTTCTCGAGTGAAACTAATGATATTTTTAAAATTTTAGTTTATGCAAAGCCGGGTAAGGAGCAAATTATTATAAGTTTGTTAGGGAAAAAGCTATAAAAAACAAAACAAAACACTTATGGCTGCAAAAGTAACAACGCTCTTGTCACTAACTGGATTATAAAAGTAATAAAACTATAATAGTGTTATTACTTTTATAAAGCACTTTTAATTCTTTGTTCAAACAACATTAGTAATTCCTAACTTTAATAAAAGTAGATAAGTATCTAGAAAATATAAAGTGGATATTCAAATATTGTTAAAAACTTTTGGAACTTTTACAAATACTTAAACAATTTTACAAAAATGTACTTTACAAAAAGTTTGGCATTATGAAAAACATTACTAATAGTCCGTAAAAATACATGTAATTCTAAAATCAACCAATAAAAAGTTTTTATTAGTTGATTTTAAAATTAACGTGCATTTTTACAGACCATTAGTAACGTTTTTCATAATGCTAAACTTTTTATACAGTACGGTTTTATAAAGTTGTTTTAGTTCCTTAAAAAGTTTTAAATATTATTTGACTATCCACTCTATTTTTCTAGATGCTTTTCTACTTCAATTAAAATATAGTTTTATTAATAAACACAGTCTTATAAGTAACAAATTGTCTGGTCGTCCTGCCAGGCTACTGGCAAAAAAATTTTTTAATTTCAGTGGCCCTTGGAGAAGAATAATAAAGGAAAAAATTGCTACCCCATGCCAAACCCTTAGCAATCTAACAGCACTCCGATGTGAGTCAGGCTATATGCCAGTCGATGTATGTACTGAAGCCCTTGGGAGTAGGCTATTTTAGTATAACGTCTGACTGCTCACCTAAACCAGCAGTATAAGATCGGTATATATCATAGATGAGTTTTTTCCGGATATTTCCGGAATTCCGGAAATACACTTAAAACACCTTTAATTTTTCCAAAAATTTCCAGATGTTTTTTGATAATAGTTTGAAAAAAAATTGATATATTTTTACATAAAATTTTACATACGACAACTTTTGCATTTAAACAAATATGTTTTCTATAATTGAAATTATCACGAGATCAATTTTCGTAACAATTTTATATCTTTTTCTTTTTTTTTTTTGCTTTTTAATTCATTCAAACTTTTTCGAATATTAGAAGTTCCTTTTTGTAAAAAGTTAAAAATACTTATCTATGATATATATATATATATATATATATATATATATATATATATATATATATATATATATATATATATATATATATATATATATATATATATATATATATATATATATATATGTAAAATGACATTTTTGTATTCTCAGTTAAAAAGTATAAAAAATGGGTAAACTTTGTTGAAAATTTACCCATTTTTATACAGGAAACTGAGAAAGTCTTGTTCAATAAAAAGTCTTGTTCAAAAGAACCAGGTTTTTATTGAGATATGTGAAAAAAAAAATGGAATGGTTTTAAGTTATTTAAAAATATCATGCTGTCTAATTATTGTTATATTACAAGATTTAAATAAAGTGGCAGAATAGTTTATAATTTATCAAAAAGGTGGCGGGATGGGATCTTGCAGCATCCTGCCTCACTTTGAACATTGTATCTTGATATTTATTTTATTGGGTGCTTTAATGTTATAGGATAGATTTTCAATATTTAGTGACTTTTTTTAGTATCTTTGCAAGATTTTTTGGCTGGATATTTGCCCAGACATTCATCTAGCATACTTAATGTAGAGATTGATAATTTATACTGAGCTGTGGCAATTCTGTCCTAGCATGACTTTTTGTTTCTATTTCAATCTCTTTTCTTCTATAACCTTCTGTTTTTTTATTCTTTTTTCTTTGCCAAACCCAATCTATGTTTACTCTTAGCGTTTTTTCCTTCTTGTCAATGAATTCTTTGAAGATTAAGAGAGTCACAGTCTTCATTGATTGTAATCGACATCATTGTATACTGATTAGGGGTGTTCAATTAGGCTTTCTAACTAGTTTTGGAAAGTAGTTTCCTCTGACTTAAAAAGTTTTTGTAAATTGTTGTGTTTATATTGGAAAATGTTCTTTTAATTGTTTTTTTAAGTGTTTATATTGTTTTTTTAATTGTTGTGTTTATATTGGAAAATGTTCTTTTAATTTTTCTTTTAAGTGTTTATATTGGAAAATGTTCTTTTAATTATACTTTATTGTTTGAAAGCAATAAAATAAAAAATTAACTTCTTGGAAAGTGGAAATGGATTAAATTCAATCTATTTCCGATTTCCGGAAAGTGGAAAGAATTCAAAAATTAATCACTTTTTTGAGGTTTTTACATGATATTAAAATTTTAACATCAATATTAATTCAATTTTCCTTACTTCCCTACACATTCTTATCACTTCCTACACATTCCAATCACTTCCCTACACATTCCAATCACTTCCATACACACTACATATTCCAATCACTTCCCTACACACTACACATTCCAACCACTTCCCATTGGAAAGTCAGAAATAAAGTTAAATAATCTTTTTTTTTATTTGATAAAATTTCTTTTTCAACAAATAGTTGGTTATATATAGGACTTCTTTTTGCACTTTAAAACTAATGAAAATCTTTTTGATAAAAGGCTACTTCTTCTTTTCCTTTGAATAAAGTTTGCAACACTAAAAGCAGAATCTGCTACTCGTATAATGCAATACTTTCAAAAAGCACCAGCTAATATAGAGATTGTCCATAAATTACGCAACGCAAAAATTTTGTCTGCTACAAATTGTTTTGTTATGCTTTTCTAACTCCTTTTCTTTGCTTTAAATTTTTTTTGAACTTAACCAATTTAATTAAGTGGATCTAAATAAACTGCTTTCCAATATGATTTTGTTTTGAGCGTCTGTAATGTTATTCTTGCCAAATTGTTTTGTTATGCTTTTCTAACTCCTTTTCTTTGCTTTAAATTTTTTTTGAACTTAACCAATTTAATTAAGTGGATCTAAATAAACTGCTTTCCAATATGATTTTGTTTTGAGCGTCTGTAATGTTATTCTTGCCAACTAAATGATGGCTCAAGTTGCTAAATAGGGATTTTTTTATTACTTTTTCTTTAAAATCACCAGGTTCAGATTTAATACAAAAAATGAAACAAAATTCTTTTGGCAGCAAAAGATAATAATAAAATCTTTAAATTCTTCCTGATAACATTTTTTTTAACTAAATAGTTCAAAAAATTTGATGTCAACAAAATATATTTAGAATTAAATATATTAAGCAAATATGAAAATCAATGATTAAGTTTTTATCGTTTATCTTTTTTATCATTTATCTTCTTCTTTTTCTTCTCCTTCTTCTTCTTCTAAATTGAACACTCCGATTCCTGATGGGTAAAAAAAAATCCTGATGTCTAATAACTTTTTCTGTTTGCCAGGTCAAGCATATTTGGTGTAAAACATATTTGGTGTAAACTTATTATATGCAGCCTTATATTTTTTGAATTTTATACGTATTTTCTTATATAACTTTGTTCAATTCTCTTCTGGCATGCCATGCCAGACCCTCAGCACTTCACCAGTAATTGAAAGCAAGTTTTGCAGAACATGTTTGTTGCTAGTTTGTCAACCAGTCAAAGTACAATTTCTCTAACTGCTATGATAGAAATATTGGATAACTGGATCATATCACATTAACATAACATTTACTACCTAGCTTATTACATGGAATTGTTATAATGATTGATGGTACAATGTTATGGTACAATGTTAAACTTATAATCAAAATAGTCCAATAATATAAATGAAAAATAATGAAAAATAATGCAAATGACTAGTATTAATAATATTTAACTGAAACATTGTAAAAACATTTTGAACTTAGCGAATCAAACAGAATGTTAGGTTCTCATAAAGAGAATATTTAAATATTTAGACATAAACATAGTAAAAAAGCTCTATATAACATTCATATGTCAACATTTGAGTTTGCAGTCCAGGCATGGTCTCCATTCCTACAACAAAACATAGACAAAATTGAGATGATCCAAAAAAGATGCAACCAAACTAAAACCTACATTAAAAAATTATCTTAGGAAGCTAGGTTAAATATTATGCAGTAAAGTATAAAAACACAAAATACGTTGAGATCTTATTCAACATTTTAAAATTCAACATGGCTTTGATAAAATAAATTGGATTACAAGCAATTATCAAAATATATCAAAAGAATCAAAATACATCAAAATATATCAAAATACAAAATGTATCAAAGTATATCATAATACATCAAAAGAAAAGTATTTACAACAACACAATTTCAAACTGAAAAAACTTTTTTGCAGAAATACCTTCAGATATCACTTTTTTTTCCAAAATCGAGTTGTAAATGCATGGAACAATATACCATCTGAAATAGTAAAAGCTGCTTCAGTAAATAATTTCAAAAATAAACTAGACAAATCTGAATTTTGCAGAAACTATTTGTTAAAACATAAACAAAAAACAAACTGAGCGATTACAGTGCAATATCTGCTGTTATTGCACTTCACAACTGTTAAACACCAGTTGTTACAGCTATATCTTATTATATTATTATTAGGTAGCAGATCATCTGGTGATGTTTTTTCTAAATATAATAAATATTTAAGGTCTTAAGGTCTTAAGTGATCTGAATTTGAATTAAACTAACTCATAACTTACTTAGTTATTGTAAGGTATGCTATGAGTTAATTCAATTTAAATTCAGGTCACATAAAATTTTATTCACTCATAATTTTGTTGGCTTATTCACCATGTTGATGACATCATAAATTGGGGTTGGTTTTTTTTAAACAGAAAAATCACAAATAAGATGAATTAAACTCAATATGTATTTTGCAATAAGAAAAGGTACACACAAATAATATAAATATTTATAAATATTTTTTTATGTTATATAATTTTTATTTTATATTTTTATTTTATATTATATAAATTATTTTTTATACAATATACCCTATCTATATATATGTGCTAGTGGTGCAATGGTAGAGTGCTAGAGTGGTAGAGCCTCATAATCAAGAAGTTTTGATTTTGATCACCACCACGTCCCTGGTAGTACAGCACTCAACTTGTTTCTCTGTGCAGCGTCCTTGTTTGTCAAGGTTCCGAGTTATAGAGTTGAGAGAGGGTTGTAGCCACAACTAATGTAGCCTCCTCGACTTCAGTGGTCTTCATAACCTTAGGGAGGTGAATTGAAATAAATAAAAAAAAGTCTAAATCAGAGTGACTTTGACATCTACAGATAATGTACATTCTAACTACAGATAATGTACATTCTACAGATAATGTACATTCTAACTCTAATAAATTATCAAATATATTTTTCTTTGTTTAATTAAACATCACATCTTTCACAAGAATTGTAATAGAGATAATTAATAGACATAATAAAGGCTATCACCATTACTGTATAATTGCAAAACTAGTTTTGTCTTTATAATGTCAACTTTATTATTTTTTGTACAGTAATAAAATATGTACCTCCTGATCTATTTTCCAAACTCTTTAAAATCAGTGGTAAATGTTTTATGCAAAACTTATTGAGCAGAACACATTCATTTAGCCATGTCTCTGAATTCTAAAAGGTTTGAGATTAAAATCACAAGAAAGTGGAAACTCATTTTGATCACTTGCGTTTCCATAAGAGCTATGAACATAAGCAATTCTTAGAAGTTAAATTTTTATTGAAAGTAAAATAGTATTATTGTTAACATTGTTCCACTCTGAATGACATTTCAAGGCAGACTGTTTTTTCAATAAAATACTTTTAGATAAGTTGATACTTTTTGCCTTGAAACTTTTTTTTCACCTTCTTTGCTTCCAACAAGGCTGCAAGTAACCACTATTAGAGTTGGAAGTTACTGGAAGACAAAAGATGAAGCTTATAGAGCAATATAACGATTGACAGAGGGCTTAAAAGATTGCAAGTTATATGAATCAGGAAATCAAGTTGAAGGAAGCAAATTCCAAAGAACTGATGTTCAAGGGAAAAAACAAGACGAATATGAGTTTTTGGAGCACTTAAGAACAGTCACAGAAAAGGAATGAGACTTAATTGAATGTTGAGTAACACAAGAATGAATTTTAGTAGATGGCACAAAAGACGCTAGCTCTTTTGAGCGGTGTCCATTTTAGTATTTGTAGAAAGAGAAAGAAAAGCAACATTATGGCGATGTGATAATGGATGGAGGTTGGCTGCAAGAGCAGGTCCAACTATGTTTACAATTCATTTTTGCACCTTGTCTAAAAAAGAAAGTGCATCATTGGAAGATGCGTCCCAGATATAGCAACAGTATTTCATAAAAGGACGGATTTGAGATTCATAGAGATAAAGAATAGAATCCGGAACAAGAAAGCGTCGAACTCAATAAAGAGACTTTAGCAGATACTAATTTTGCAACGGATTTGATATACAGTTTCCAAGAAAGATCAGAAGTAAAATTTTCAGGATAACCTGACTTGACTATAATTGGTTTAGTGAAGACAGAAAAATCAGTCATTTTAGACTATTTATTTGATTTTAATATTTGCAATGCTTTATTGCAAATTTTTTTAGACTCTAAAAATCATTTAAAAGATATATATTTTTTGTTGCATTATTTGTCTCAAATTTCTTTAAAAAAGCCTGATATACCCTGTTACCATCACAAACTGTAGATATAATATGACCATTGACTGCTTTTATAACAGATAAAGGAAGTTAATTTGTTCAAAAAGAAAATTTAAATAAATTCTATGCGCAGAAACCATTAAATTTAGATCCACCAATCAAAATAACTACATTAAACTCAAAACAGAATCTCAAAAACATTTGGATTGTTAAATGATTTTCTGAAAACTGTTGCTTTATGATATTGTAACATTGTTTTAACTTGAAATTTGTCTGATAAATGTTTGCAACTTTGATGCCTAACAAGTTTTTTTTTTAGATCTTTATGAATGGGTTTTACTTTTGATGTCTTGCTAATGTTATAATGCTATAAAGTTTAGATATAATTTTATTTTATGTAGCACAATTATGTGTCAAATATAGAATCTAGAAAATAAAAAATTTAAGTCAATTGTAATTCAATTTTAAAGATGTGGATCCAAAATTAGAGGTATAAATCTTGACGACGGTCAGTATGTGAAAACGTAATCCTGGACTCCATATTTTCTATAATTACGTAATCGTATATATTTATTAGAAATCGTATATATATATATATATATATATATATATATATATATATATATATATATATATATATATATATACATATATATATATATATATACATATATATATATACATATATATATATATATATATATATATATATATATATATATATATATATATATATATATATATATATATATATATATATATATATATATATATATATATATATATATATATATATATATATATATATATATATATATATATATATTATCAGAGAGTTTGGTCGTGATATCCAACTTTTAAACTTCGTTGGTACATATTGTACAATGAGAAGAGGGGATGGTGCATTATGCAGCACTAGGTAAAGTTTTGAATTATTCATTTCAGTTTTGAGTTTGTTCTTAGCCTTTTAACCTGTTTACTTATATTTAGTGCTTTTTTTTCATATTTTTTTGTTTTTATTTTTAAAATGTTAGTGTTTAGACGATTTAGTGTTTCACCATATCCTAGTTTTTAACAATTATCATCATTTATCACATCTGATTTTTTAGTGTATCACCATATCCTGCTTTTTTGCACAAGTTCGTCAACAAAAACAGCTGGAACGAAGCAATTCGATTGTGCAGATTTGTTAAAGTATGCTACCTTGTTCTTTTGAAAATTTATCATTTTTTTTTTATTCTACTGTAATTAAAGTTAGAAACACCGGAAAGTTTTCTCCCAGTTTATAATTATTTTGTAGATGTAATGTAAATTAAATTTATTTATTTTATCAAATTATTTTCCTTAATTTATTTATTTGGTATTAACTTAAGGTATTAATTTGACACTCTTATGTTGTTGTTCCATTCAGGATAAAACATTATGGGCTTGTTTAGCGGGATTCGCAGCTTTACACAAGGATTTGAACACTGCAGAAATTGCTTACGCCGCAATTGACGAGGTTTTTATTGAAAATAAGTTTTATATGCGGTTAGGTTTTTTTATATGTGTTTTTTTATGAATTTTAAACTATTTTTAGATCGAAAAAGTTCATTTTATTCAAGCCATAAAAGAAATTCCGTCTGCAGAAGGTCGAAATGCTGCCGTTTTACTGTTCTGTGGACAAGTAAAAGATGCCGAGTTAATTTTACTTCAGAGCGGACTCATATATCGAGCTATACAAATGCATATTGATCAATTTAATTGGGAAAGGTAAATTTATAATATATAATTTTATGATCATTAAGTGCTTTATAAATTATAATTTTTGTATGTTCATTTGTGCATCTATTTACTTATCATAGTTAAATGCGAAAGTTTAAAATTATATTTTGAGCTTCTGGCTACTTATAGCGAACGTTAAAATATCGTAAAATAACTTGTTAGGACTTTTTAACAATAACTTTAAGGAGCTGGATTGAAAAAACATTTTCATCAGATAATTTTAATAACATTATGATGCTTGCAACATTAAGATGAAAACACTTGCTTTGTTTAGTGTAAGGAGATGCTTAATCATGTTTGTCTATTTTTAGAGCACTTGAATTAGCTGTCAAACACAAAACTCATGTCGATACTGTTTTAGCTTACCGCCAAAAATATTTGCAACGATGCAACAAAAAAGAAAACAACAAAAAGTTCATACAGTTTGCTCAAGGGGTATATATTTCTTGATTTTTAAATTTAAATCGATTTCTTATTTGCGTTTGCTTTCTATACTTTCGTTTAAATAGGTGACGGTGGATTGGGAAAAAATCAAACTTAAAATTGAAATGGAAATAGAAAAAGAATCTGAAAGACCCGGAGCAAAAGTTAGCGGACAATGATATTGCTACTTACCTAGGCGTTTTTAAATTTACTTCAGCTTTCTTGATAACCTTTAAAAGTTTTTATCGTTATCGATACGTTTTGACAACATTCGTATAACAATTTTTTTTTTAGTTACTTTTTTTTTAATATGAAATATTTGTATTTCTTAAATTACAACTTTCAAAATTTTCTTATTTCATTTTTTGTACATTTTTTGTAAATAAAAATAATTTTATTGTTAACTAAATAATTTATTTACATATTTACTTTTGTTCGTAATAAAGTTGCACTTAAATTAAATCCGAATTTTCCTTTCGTATTTTGGTAAACTTTAAAATTTGATGTTTAATTGTCTCGTTTAACAACTTGACTCTGGTGCGTTTAGATTAACATTTGATGCTGTAACATTTTGTAACATCCCTTTACACCTCAGGATCTCTTCAAAAAACCTCAATTTGAACAATAAATCAAGATTTTCAAATAACTGAGTCATTAAACTCAAATCGAGCTTTAATTTTTCTCTTTAATTTTCTATCGTAAATTTACTGTGATGAAGTTTGTTTCAGTTATGTATACCATTCGCTAAAATTTTTCTTTTCATTTTCACTGGAGCTTGATGCAGATTCCAGATTCCATTCATCGTCAAATTCATCAAAGTTGCTAGTATCATGGTCGCTCCTCAGAACCGGTTGAAAGGGAGTCTATTGCAAATGAAAATTAGTTTAAAAAAGTTATTATTTTTTTAATTTTTATTTTGAATCATGAAGTTATACTTACTCGATACTTTTGTTGCAACACGCGATTCCAATCGATTCGATCAAACCAACAATGAGCTTTTATTGCTTCAAACCCATGCTGTAAAGTTTTAAGTTAAAATTATTATCAGTTTTTTAAAATAAAGATGATAAAATAAATCAGAAACAATTTCTTTTTTAAAACTATATAAAAATAAAATATTTTTAATCGAATTCAAATTAGCAGTCAGAATGCATAAAAAATCTAATTCGTCTAGTTAGAATGAATAATTTGTTCTTTTGAAGAAATTTTTCGTTGAGTTTGTTTTTAATTCAGGGTTTGTTAAACCGCTCTTTTTAGTAAATTCATGTTACTCTAAGTCAAGGAGTTATTAGAGGCGTTTTTTGGACGTACTTTTATTTTTGCGCTATAAACCCTGTGGGATTTTTTCCATATCATTTTATTAAACATTATCACCAAAATATTTTCTTCTTGCTGACAAAAACCTATTTGGAAAGAAAAAGTTCCATCTCCACATAAAAGATTTGAATAAATCTCTAATTAAAAACTCAGGCAAAAAAATGTTACAAAACGTTTTTAATTATATTAGTCGGAGAGAAGTTAGCTGTATTATTAAAAAGTTAAATATTTTCTGTAAATAACTGTAACCAGGGGTTATTAAATATTTTTTTTTGTTGGTAATGTGTTGCATCTTATTTATTAACCATTTAGTTATTTTACAATTTATTATGACTATACCATGTTGATGGTAAGTGAAATGAAAAATGGCAATAACTTTGTGAAGAAAAATCTGGTAAACCTGCTACTTGCAAAAAGTAGGGTGTAAAGATAATGAGCAAAGAATTTGGGTGTAAAGAAGTGGGGTGTAAAGATAATGAGCAAAGAATTTTAAACGCCTTATAATTTTAGAGCTTAATTTTTGAACATTTTACGGTATTTAAAAAAGCCTTATAAATTAAAAAAGTTTGTTTTTTAATTCGTTTTTATTGCTTATTATCTCAAGTTAATTTACGGAAGAGTGGTTTAAAAAAACTTTAAATTAAACCTCAATTAAAATACCTTTCGAATGAAAACCTTTTACAAACATTTTTTAAACTCTCAGAACAAAGTTTGTGATTTTTTATAAAACAGCAATATGCAAATCACACTTTATTAACAACATGAAGTTGACTTATATTTCAGTTTTCTCAGATAAAACACAGGAGCCGTTGCTCTTATGTTTTATCTTTTACATTTTAAAATACTGCACTCTTTTTTAGTGAGAGGGGGGAAAGATTTTAATTGTAGATATTTAACTTTAAAGACGATTGGAAACGATAACACAAGTTTGCTCATACTTTACAATCACTTCTGTTAAAATAATTTTAAATTTAAATATATTTAAAAATTGAAGTTACCTTTCCTTTTCCAAGTCTTGTTGATCTATCAGCAACAATAAGCTTACTAATAAAGTCCCTTAAAAAATTTTTTTTTACAATAAGTATTCTAATATTTTTTTAATTATATGCAAGTCTAAAACAAAACAAAAAAGTCTTTTAATAATATATAATAACAATAGTTATATGTAATAATAATAACAATTATATATAACAATAATATTTATATGTAATAACAATTATATATATGAAAATAATAATTAAATATATAATAATAAATATATATATATATATATATATATATATATATATATATATATATATATATATATATATATATATATATATATATATATATATATATATATATATATATATATATATATATATATTATTGATGTGCCGGGTACCAGGTATCTTTTAGGAAATTTTTAATAAACGTTTGCTTTAAATGCTGTAACTATATGTTTAAGTGGTACTTTAAATTGTCAAAATATTATTAACAGGATTGCTTTTAGTTTCAACTTCATTCAATAAACTTCTTCATATAAGTCTAAGAGTATTATAGAGTCAAAACCCAGCTAGCACACTTACATTGGGCCAACGTATGTAAAACTATCGCGAATGTCGGCTCTTTTTTCCAATACAAAACCAACGTTGATCCAATATCATTTGGTTAATGATAAAATTATTACCGACGGAGCTAAAAACATCTGGCAAATTTAACTTTTTGCGATGTAAAAACATCGCAAAAAGTTGATTATTTTTACGATCTAAACCCAATGTTGATCCAATGTATATATTTCAACGTTGATTCAATGTATATAAACCAACGTTTTTCCAATGTATGTAAAAACATTGAAACAGTTTGATTGTTTTTACGATCCAAACCCAACGTTGATCCAATTAATATATCTCGACATTGATTCAATGTATATAAATCAACGTTTTTCCAATGTATGTAAACGTTTTTCGAATGTATGTAAAAACACGCAAAAAGTTTATTGTTTTTAGAATCTAAACACAACGTTAATCCAATGTATTCGACTAAATATAGCTATTACGAAATTACAAAACTTGAACAAAATCTTCCGTGATTGTTAAAATATCAAGCCACAATCAACACAAACATGATTTTTGTTTATATATATATATATATATATATATATATATATATATATATATATATATATATATATATATATATATATATATATATATATATATATATATATATATATACGTTGTTTTTATATCATTATGGTTAAAAATGCGACGTTGCCAACAACTAAAAACCAATGTTGATAAAACGTTTTTTTAAAGTCGGAAAATGGTTATATTTTCTACGTTGATACAACGTTTTATTTTCTACGTTGGCACTACGTTGTATTTTAAGTTGCTACAACGTTGTATTTACGTTGAACTTTAGTTGGCAAAACGTTGTATTTAATATTATTCGGAATAAAATTTTCATTAAATTCTACTTTCTTTATATATTTATAATATATATATATATATATATATATATATATATATATATATATATATATATATATATATATATATATATATATGTATATATATATATATATATATATATACACATATATACCTATAAATATATATATACATATAAATATATATATATAAATATATATATATATATATATATATATATATATATATATATATATATATATATATAGATATATATATATATATAGATATATATATAGATATATAGATAGATAGATAAATAGATAGATAGATAAATAGATAGATAGATATATTAGAATCTTTCATTATATATATATATATATATATATATATATATATATATATATATATATATATATATATATATATATATATATATATATATATATATATATATATATATATATATATATAGATATATAGATAGATAGATAGATAAATAGATAGATAGATAGATAGATAGATAAATAGATAGATAGATATATTAGAATCTTTCATTATATCAAAACATCTGTTAAAAACTTCATCGAATTAGAGCCTTAGACAAACTTGGAGGCTAACAAACTGGAAGGTGTGGGTAAAATGTCTTTTAGATGTAGGATCAGTTAGGTAAAAAAAACTGAATCAAATAATTTTTAGCTGATTTTTTATCTAATAACTCTTGTCTAGTTTTTACTCCACCCTTCTTTTCACCCTTGCAGCTGTTTGTTTACTTTTTTTTCCACATATAAATAATATTTAGAAAATCATTTTTATAGAAATTATTTAGTTTTCTTTCCAAAAGTTTTTCAGAAATATTTTCCAAAAGCTATTTATTATTTCAGAAGGTTGCTCCCCTAAATAACCACACTGTTTAGATTTCGCACACATTATAACATTCCGCCACATTTCACTTTTTTTATTTAAATGATACTGCATTTGGAAGCATGATTATTAAACTAATGATGATATTAATAACTTCAAATGTGAACTTATAAGCTACCTTGTTTTTTTAAAAAATTATTATTAAAAGTAAAGAAAAAAGTGTACTTACTTTGAAACACTATTTTTTAAATCATCTGGCCAGGTTACTTTACAATCTAATATTTTTTCATACAAGCCAAATGGATGATCATCAATAAACGGAGCCTCTCTATAAAATTTGCAAAATGAAATTTTGTTATTGTTCTCAGTTTTTGCTTTGTAACAAATTTAGTTATATATATAACTAAAATAAAATAAATATCACCTACCCAACAAGCATTTCATAACTTAGAATGCCCAGTGCCCACCAGTCACAGGAAAAATCATGTCCTTTACCCTGAATTACTTCTGGAGATAAATATTCTGGAGTTCCACATAGTGTCCATGTTCTAAAAATAAATTAAAGCAATGAAACATTAATCATTTGCAACTATTAGGTCTAATTACAAAAAAACTGTTAATATTTTGGCCAATTTATAATATCTTATCCTTGGATGCACACAATCAGGGCCGCCGAGAGCCGTCACGCAGCCTGATTGTTACCCTCATTTAACAAAATTTTTAATGTTTTTAGGTACCTTCTTTTTATTTGGTGCTTCTTGGATATCTGCCGCCCGGGATAAACTCATACAGTAAGTGGAATAAACTATCAGTCGAAAAAGGTAAAAAAAAAAAATGATAAAAACGGATAAAAACGGTGAAAAAATAATGATAAAAACCTTTTTGCAACCATTTTTTATGATTTGATGAAAATATATTTTTACTTAAAAAAGTTTATTTAAATTGAATAAGTGTTTACACTGGCCATTATAAGTTTAAATGTCCTATGCTATTCGCATTTATCTTACTGCTGACAATATAAGTTGTTATTGGACAGTGGATGCTTATAGATACGAAAAATATACTTGTAGTTCAATCCCTACATCTATTCATAATTATCGCCATGTTTACTTATTAAACTAAAATACATAAACAAAATAGTTTTCTTTAGTGTTTTATATCTTAAATATCTATCTTGGATATATTACCTAAATACCATCGGACAAAACTGTATAATGAAAAAATGTTTATGCTTTTTTATCATAATAAAAGTCTTTTACATCTAGATAGTACCTACCCAAACTCTTACTTTCAATATGCATCAACTGAACCTCCCACTATGGGGGCTTCACTATGGTAGGCTATATTAGTATGACATCGTAAGTCAAGTTTTATGCAAGGGTTTGATTATGCAATTACGCACAGATTTTTGAACATGATTAAAGTGTTGACGATATTTAAATTTATTTAAATTTAGATTTATAATACTAAGTAATTCATTATGGTATTTAAATAGTAATTTTTAGGGGAAATATATATGTTGCAAAAATGCTTAATTTCTAATTTCTAATTTAAAGCTAATTACATAAAACATTTATGATAGCTAATTACATAAAACATTTATGATTTTATAATATTTTTAAATAAATAGCTATAAGCAAAGCTAAGTAGCTATTTATTGAATTGATATTTATTATCTCCCTTTTTTTGAAAACATTATGACTAATGAAAATGACTTAAAATTTTGAAAGGGACTTATATAAACTATTTTCCACATCTATGTGGAGTGTTTAATAACTTGTAAAAGGCTTAATAATGTTATCTAAGAAATTCCGAACAAAAAATTAATAAAGATAAATATGTAAAAGGTATTCGTTAAATTAAATTTGAGTAAGTAATAAATTAAATAAAGTTAATTAATAATTTAAAACTTTTTAAAGTTATTTAAATAAAAATTATATAGTCCATAGTCATATACATAAAAAAGTATTTAATTCATAGCATTGATAATAGCCCTAAATCATAATATATAATAAAATTTTAAAAGTCTACTAGTTTTTCTTACGTATTTTCAAGATATTTTGCAAATCCAAAATCTGTTAACTTTAAATGACCTTTAGCATCTAGCAGAAGATTTTCAGGTTTAAGATCCCTGTAAACTATGCTCTTCAAATGAAGATATTCTAATACACAAATAATTTCAGTTATGTAAAAAAATGCCGTCTTTTCCGGAAACCGTTCCATCTTTCGCAAATAAGAAAATAATTCTCCTCCAGGCACATATTCCATGATCAAATAAAGACACTTTGAGTCAGCAAATGAATCGTAGCTAAAATTAAAAAGAAAAAAACTTCAAAAATGTGTTTTGGTTGTTTGCTCTGTAATTAGTGTGCTGTTCAAAATATCTAATTTAGTACTTTAAATGTCGAAAATACTCTGCACTGATATCTACTATTTACACACATACGCACACACACACACAAAATAAACTATAAAGAATTCTGACATATAAAGCAATAACTTATTATTTGGAACAAATAATTTTTAACAACATAAAAAACTGACTTTTTACAATAAAGCTTTGCTCTTTTACTACAATATCCACTAAATTTAATTATTAGTTTCACCACTAGAATTTGAATGATAAACTTATTGTAAAAAGTATTCCATAAAAAAGTCCATAAAATTCTTAAAAACTTTTATTGATTTTATATATAAATTATAATGACTTCCCATTTAAATTTTTTATAATCAAAAGTTAATTTGGGTTGTAATTGAAAAATTAAATTGGTTTGGCTGAAAAGTAAGAGACGTTTTTTCAAAGATATTCGGTAATTTATTATTTTTTGAATCTATAAATAATTTTTGACAATATATGAACCATCATAGACGAGATGTCTATCGCAACGCTTAGACAAAAAGCAAATGATGTAGGCGTAAGACCTATAAGGCTACAAATCATAGAATCCATTGAATCTGCGGTTGCGCAAGCTGTTGCTTAGTGATTGAAACAAATAATCTATACTAAGCTTGGAAAGTAGTTTCAATGAGAGGCAACACGTTTCAACCACCAATTGATTTTTTCACTTTGATTTTGCAATTTATGTTACAGACCATGTCATAGAACAAGTATGATTTCTGGTACCTCGGGCTTTTTAAAGAAATTCCGTTAGAGACATGTTAAGTTGAAACAGGACACAGCTCTTGAAATTGTTGGGTTTCGTGGGAGCAATACCCAGCACAAAAAAATTAAATTCACCAAATGTTAATTTGGTCAAGTAAGCTAATTGACTGGTGCAGAAATAAAAAGTTCATGCAGGTGTCTTCAAATTGACATAACAGACTAACATTCAGTAAATGTGGTATCCAATCATCGAGTTTGGTAGTCTTTTTTATTTCGTACAAGTGGTATACCATAGTGCCATGATATCATTCAAGTCATTGGTTTATCTGATCTTTCTGGTTAACAAGTAACCTGGTGGGAAATCGGCTAGCGAATAGCTAGCTTTAATCGTAACGATAAAGACAGCGATTTGGCCACGAGAATCGCTAGCTTTTTTAAGTTAGCGAAAAGCTATCGATATTGGTAAAGATAAAGACAGACATTTGGTTAAGAGGATAGCCAGCCTAATGAGCTAAAGACCCACTGGCTATTGTAGCTAGCGTCATATCGTAATAAAGTCATTGTCTAAAAAAATTTGATATGTAGCTATCAACCAGCTATAGATTTGTAGATACTTTGTAGCTAGCTACAAAGCTACGATATGTAGCTAGCGACACATTGCAACTAAATCGCAATGTTTAAAGTTTGATTATCCTCATAATTATAATAGACTCAACACTAAAAACCGAATTTTTAAAGATGTTAAAGACATAAGGAAATAATAAAATAGGAAAAAAAAATCGCTAGAAAATCGCTATAAAGCTAGCTAGTCGCTCGCTAGTCGCTAGCTCATTTCCCACCGGGAAGGAGCAAAAAATAAGTATTTAAACATTTTATTATTGTTTTTTCGACTTTAAATAACTACCTTATGATGTAGTTATTTTGCGATTATTAAAACATGCGATTATTAAATTCGGAACGATAAATTTCGTTTTAAAACTTGTCACTTACAAGTTTTTTTTTTTTTTTTTTTTTTTACGTAACTGCATTAAGTAATGATGTTATTAATTAAAAATATCAGCAAACGAGTAATTTGAAGACATTTCTTTTAAAAAAAATCCCACCAAAACAGTTAGAAAAAAGAAAAAAATTCTCCACAACTTTCTACAAAATTCTTCTGCATAGTTACTTTCAATCAATAAAGCGTCTAAATCTAGCAAAACTGTAGTTTGCTAGATTCAGATTAGTCATACTTTGGTCATAAAACGGTGCAAGAACACTCAATCTATTAAACGAGCAAAAGGATTTGGAAGAATGAATGGTTTTAAATTTAAGAAAGCAGCAATTAGTATTCGTCAATCATTTATGCAAAATCCCGGCTTATCAAAAAGATAACGAGCCAAAAGGTATAAAGTTTCAGAGTTTTTAGTTAAAAAATTTAACAATTTTAAGTCTCATTGAGCCATTAAATTTTTAAAAGTTGACTTCTAAAATTCGAGATCGAAATCTTTATGACGAATTTAATCTCACAAGACGAAGTGCTCACAAGATTTAATGACTGCATAAATACAGATGACGTGACGCGCATCAAATGTAATTTCAAACAGCTCCCAGGTCCAAAATTTTACACTTCAGTTGTTTGTGGACGTGTCAACAACAAGTCCAAGTATAAATCATTGGATAAATTTGGTTAGAAACTCTTGTGCCAAGCAATATGCAGCTTCGATTTTAGATCTTAAGTTTTCGTCACATCGTCAACTTTTAACTCAGATGTTTACATCAAGGAATGCTTGCAAGCTAGACCTTTACCACTTTATCGAATTCATGATGCTCCCTGTTGATTCTGGTATAATTTAGCTTCTTGTAGTTACTCTAAGAAGACCGTAGAGTGATAATATTTGAGAGACATTAAGTTCATACAAATACTTGAACCCACAGTCACATCCCAATAAGAAATTTTGAGGGTTTGGCACAAAATATTTGCGTAAGAGTGAACAAACAATAAGTACAGCTAAAGATTTGGTTAGAGAGTGAATATTAGTTGAAAAAAATTTTGCCAAAGACATTATTTAGAAGTTGATGTCGTCAATTAGCGTAAATATTTGCTTATTTATGTGAAAAAACGAAAACTATTTGAAAAAAAATTAATTTTTATGATCTTCAACTTCCTTATATTAAAATAAGTAATGAAGGTTTTCCATTAGTTTAATTATTATTATTATTATTACTTTTAATTTTTCATCATTCCGAATATAACGATCATATGCTTTATACTAGCTTTTCCAAAAACACATATTAAAGCTAAACATTACCATTTTACAATAAACGGGTGATTAATGCTCAATAAGATTTTCCTTTCATTGTTGCTATGTTCAACTTGGTTTAATCGAATAACATCACGAATTAATAGGGCTTTGATAGCATAATATAAATTTGATTTTTTGGATTCCGCCAGAAGAACTCTTCCAAAAGTACCTGTTCCTGTATAAAAAAAAGTAAATTAAAATTTAAGTAAAATACAAAATAAATATTAAACTAAAAGAATTTTAAAAAAAAAGTAAAATATTGTGATAATATGAATTAAATATTAAAAAAGTTTGAATTTGCAAAATTCAATATATATATATATATATATATATATATATATATATATATATATATATATATATATATATATATATATATATATATATATATATACACATATATATATACATATATGTATATATATATATATATATATATATATATATATATATATATATATATATATATATATATATATATATATATATATATATATATATATATATATATACATCAGCCATCACATATATATATATACACTCAGCCATCACATCGCTGAAATCCAAAGTTTTTAACAATTTTGATTCAATATTTAATCTTGCTAAATTACTTAAATAACTATGAGGCATTGCTGATCGATGCATGTTCTTTACTCTTTTAACAGCAGAGAATGATCTCTCAGTTTTGCAATTTGTTATGGGAATAGTTAGAAACAAACGATATACTATATAAACATTCGGAAACACATGAACAATGTGTTTTTAGTTTCAGATGTCTTTTTTATGAGAAAAAAAACCTTGAAGTTACAACTTTAATAATGATACAAATTGTTTCATTTCAAAAATGAAACTATCCTCTAAATCCTTTGATTACATTTCCACAATTTTTTTAACTTGCAATTCCATCATACTAATAGTTAACAGCTTTGACAGAAATCCAAATAACTTATTTATGCGGTTGTAACCATCACTTCTTATAGTTAATTGTGTCACAAGTTTCTTAATAATGACAAAAAATATATTGACTCAAAATTTATCAGCTTAAAGCATTAACTTGGTCTTCGTTGCTCAATTTTTTAATTCATTTTTTTGTTTTTTCAGAATATATATATATATATATATATATATATATATATATATATATATATATATATATATATATATATATATATATATATATATATATATATATATATATATATATATATATATATATATATATATCAATAATATCAGAATCTTTTTTAATAAACAAGCTAAGTTTCGATTAATTCTCAGATCTCGTAAAATCGTATCGTAAGTTATTTACAAAGTCGTTACGTTAACGTAAGTTATTTACATTAGTGAAAGTAACATAATGCTTGCTCTATGCAAATCTAATTCAACTTTTTGAAGAAATTTGCTAATTTCATTAAACTTTGTAAGTATGTACTGCCAAAGTACAGCCATGTAGCCAAACTCTAGCTTAGTGATCTTACTTAATAAACACACAACTTCATGACGAGTATCAGACTTTTCCTCTGTATCCTCAGCTATAAGACATAACGCTGCATGAGTTTTATCAAAGTTTTCTACTAAACCTTTTGAAGCATCTGACATACTTGACCATTGTGTATCTGATAATTGCTTGAGTGTAGCTAGTGTTTGAGTGTACAAAAAATGAATACAAACTCTGCAGAAGGCTAAATAAGTTGATAGTGTTGATGCACTCACCGACACTGCACTGCTCTACTAAGTTTAAAGAATGTCGAGCGCAGGGGATATAAAAAGCTAATCACGCCGCCAATTTAAACGAGCTTGTAAATAATATCCAGAATATTTACCAGACATATTGTTTGCATTAATGTATGCCTGTCCACAATAATTGCTTATATCAAAATCATATTTTTCCAGTAAATTTAAAATGTCAATCAAAAATTTACCTTCGTAGTTTTTAATTTTTAGAAAACAAAAAAATCGCTCATACAAGTGGCCATTTAGACTTTAAACGCATATTAATTTGGTATGATGAAAAAAAAATTGTCATTTTCGGAAATTAAGCTATTATTTTCTCTCTCTGTTTCTTTTTTTTCTCTTCAATCTCCTTTTAGTAACTAAATAATAACTGTATAACGTGTAAAAGCTATTCGCTTTTTCTCCTAAATCTTCTTTTTGGCAAGTTTAGCGCTACAGCTTTTATATGCATTCAAGTATTTCTTTAATTCCTTTGTGCATTAGAATTGTAGGGTTTTTCAAGAATTCCTTTGTACATTAGAATTGTAGAGTTGCAATCGTTAATACATTTTCAAAAACAATATAATCATTCAAGTCATTAGCAATTTTCCAAAGGAAATTGTTTTTGTAGCAATTTGAATAAATATTGCATTTGATTTTTGAGATAAGACGTTACGTTACGACTTATCTAGTAATAAGACGTTACGTTACGACTTATCTAGTAATTTTTTTTCATAAAAGTGGTTAGCGCTCCCAGGCGCGCTACAAAAATTACTATCGCTAAACACTTTGGACTAATCATTTAACCATTTTGGACTAACGCAAGATCTTCCGTTAGTCCATGGAAGTATAAAACAGATGGAAGTTCATCGAGTTGCAAACATCAAATCAATTTCAAGTTTCACTGGACAAAAAACAATAAAATTTACTGAAATGATTTTTATTAAAACATCAAAAAATAAATTATTCTAGGTATATGCTGCAAAGTTTTAACCATTAGTAGTTGCAATTATTAAGCTCATTTTCTTGCTTCAAGTCATAACACGACATTTGATTAAAAAGACAACTAAAACAATTTAAAAAAAATCAAAACAATTGTTTTCTAAATAACTAAAGTTTAAAGTTTCATTAGCTGAATATCATAATTCCATTCATTCTTGTAGTACTCCATTCATTTAATATGAATTTTAAAAAAAAATTGGTTTTTGCCGTTTTGTTGCGCCATTTTTAATGTTTTTCTTGAATATTATTCAAAATACAATATTTTTAATTATAAACGTACCAATTTGCGTCAATGTATTTAGATAAAGCGTTTAAGTACAGTCTTGATGTTGTTTTCTTTATACGTACCTATTGCGTCAACGTATTTAGATAAAGCGTTTAAGTACAGTCTTGATGTTGTTTTCTTATTGTTTACGAAACAAGCATAGTCCCGAAGAGTTTCAATGACGTTGAACTTCCACCTGTTTTATATTTCCATGGTTAGTCCAAGACCGTAAAAAAAAATTTTAATGCAACGTTTTTGTTGACATTCGTTTTCTATTTTTGTGTTTTTGTTTTCAAATAGACAATTATGTAAATTTAACTTAGCTTTTTAAAGTTAATAAAAATTTAATTTTCAGAGCTCTTAAATAATATTTTACTTTGTATTGGGGCACCCAAAATTGTAGAGCCCGGGGCTACAGGCCCCATAGCCCCCCTCTTTTATTCCAGCGCAGTATATATATATATATATACATATATATATATATATATATATATATATATATATATATATATATATATATATATATATGTATATATATATATATATATCTATATATGTATATATATATATATATATATATATATATATATATATACATATATATATATATATATATATATATATATATATATATACATATATATATGTATATATATATATATATATATATATATATATATATATATATATATATATATATATATATATTGTATACTTTTTTTTTTTATTAAAATAATTACCGTAATCCTAAAAATTAAATGTGATATTTACAAAAAAAAACAAACATCACAATCTTAAAATTTGAATTTGAAGCTTTCGTGTTAAACTTTTTTTTATCAGTTTTCTACACAAGTAATATAAAATAACAACCTCAAAATAATAAAAATGACGTTAAAATATTAACGCTTTCAATGACAAAATTGTTTTACGTAATTGCAACCAATTAAACTTACTCATCATGTGACAAACTCAGAAACCTAATGCTGTCGATAAATGAAAAATAAACATCTTAAACTATTTTTTTGTATGAACTTATTGTGAATATATATATATATATATATATATATATATATATATATATATATATATATATATATATATATATATATATATATATATATATATATATATATATACATATATATATATATATACATATATATATATATACATATATATATATATATATATATATAAATATATATATATATATATGTATATATATATATATATATATATTTATATATATATATATATATATATATATATATATATATATATATATATATATATATATATATATATATATATATATATATATATATATATATATATATATATATATATATAAATACGCAAACAATTTGCTTTCAGCGTTTGAAGTTTTATTCTAGTTTTAAATCAAATACTGTGCACTAAATAAAAGATATTAAAACAGTAATGCATTATCGATAATTAAGAAACCAATATCTAAGTAAAAAAAGGCGGTCTAAATTAATTTATATGCAATAACTAACTTAATTGAGAATAACGATCCTGCAGTGAAAATTCTTTTAGATTACGCCCTTTATTAGAACGGTTTCCTGAATCAAAAAAGTTTTACTTTTTTATCATTAAAACAGTTCTGCAGTCACATGTGCTATAAAGGTTGATTTTTGATTAATTAAACATATTTAATGCTTATTGCAATAATATTTATGAAGTAATTTTTAAAAGCAAAAAATATTTATAAAGTAACTTCTTACGCTAAATCTAAACTAAACTTTGTCATAGTCAAGTTTTTAGATAAGATTTCAACATAAATTGAAGTCAACTTAGTGTAACAGTTTTGTACTTTAACATAAGTTTTTAGTGAGGAAACTTTTAACTTAAGTGAGAAAAGTAAGCGTATATTAATGGCTATAAAACGCTGTTTTACATGAACTTGATAACATCGCACAAAAATGTGCTAAAATACCATTTTAACAGTAAATGAAGTAGTTATATTACACATCAGTCCACGCAAAACAATACATAACACGGATGTATATCCTAAGGAGCGTTAAAACATTCATCCATTATTAATGCTCTTTTGATACTATATAGCTCCGTCAAAATTTACATATCTTATATATTATCTCCATAAATATTTACACATCTTTGCAATAGAAAATCTAGAACAGAATGTGTTCAAAACTCCAGATATCTTAGTTCAACATTAAAATAACTTAATGCTTCACGCACTTCAATTTCTTCCATTTTGGGTTATTATTATTGTAAAAAAAAAAAGAAAAGGAAAAAAATATGTATACCAATTTTCAAATCTTCATTTTTCAAACCTAACACAGTATTAAGAGATGAACAATGTCATTAATTTTGTTAAAATTTTACCATGGTATGATATTTTGTTATGATATTATCATTACAAAATTTTAAACATATACTTCAACGTTCCATTTGTTTAATCTTGTTTAAGTATCAATACTCCTTAAGTTAAAGTTGGATTACAATAAATATTTTTTTTTCAATGAACACTGTTAAAATTGTCTTTAGTTAGAAAAATTGAGACTTTAAATTGCTATATATTTTGCTATAGGTTTTTTTTCTCTTTTTATATAACAAATATAAAAACCCATGTTGTTTGAAATTAGTAATTAGTAAGAAACGATGATAGATTCCAAATCTGTCATTCTGAAGTGGAACTGCTTTTAAAAGTATATATAGCGCATTACATTTTAGCCCCCTGACTACATAAACTATTTAATAAAGTTCAATATAGCTAAAATCGACTATTTTAATGAATTTATGATTTAACTTATATCAAAAACTTTAAATTCTATAAATAAAAATTCTCAAAAATTATCTATTAAAATTGACAATATCCTTTGATTGTTGGTTACTATAGAAACTATTATTGTTGGTTACTAGAGAAACTATTATTGAAGCGCTACTGGAGTTTTTAAACTATTTGTTTAGTTTATTAAAATGATATTCTTACCTAACGTTTTTAAAAAGCTTAAGTCTGCAAAACTTATCTTTGTTTCTTTTTTTTTCTGGTCTGTATTTGTCTGGGTTAACTGCATGGTATCATTAAATAACTGACAAGCTTGCTCAATATTGTCTTTATCTGTTCCTATGCCATTTGTAACTTTATTTTTGTCATTGGCACTAGCTTTCGATATCAACAAATTGCAGTCGATTTCTGAATCCTGGGTTTTGGATTTAGCATTGATTTGGTGAAACGGTTTAGAAACACTTGTCTCTGAAGTTTCGTTTACTTTTTTATCTTGCTTTATATTATCAGAGCTTATACTTTTTCGCAGAGAGGACTCTAATGAAATGGAATCATTTTGAGAATCTATCTTTAGATTGTTTACTGGAAAACGAAGTAACGATTTTGTTAACGCTTTTTCAACATAAAAAGCTCCATTTCTCGGACACAAACTTTTATCTTCTGCGCAGCAATTGTTTTTATTGTCTCGTTTAAAGTCTTGACTAATAGATAAAACCTTAATTTTTTTGTTGCCAATTTGATTTGGTGCCACAATTAATAGATTTTGAAGGCTGCTGCTCTTCCCAACGTTATTTTCATCGACATTAATATTAAACGCTTTCCCAACGCAATTGTTGTTAGAAAAAGTATTTGAGTTATAAACCGTTGCAAAGCCGTCAGAAACTGCTTCACCCATAACAATCAAGTTTTCTTTTAATACGCAAACATACTTCACCAAACAATATGAACATAAGTTAAAAACATGCTTTTATCCTCAATAAAAATAGAACTAAACATATAGATGCCCGATAACAATTCTTTTTTTTTTTGACTAATTACTTTTTAATTCAACGTTTTACATGTAATAATGAAAACATCAATCTCAAAAAAATCCATTGAAAACACGATAATAATGTAATAAGCTTATCTAATTAGGTATTAAACAAAAAGCAATTTGTATATGAATGTCTTGTAACTACAAGTATTATTGCCTTTTTGTATTTGAAACTATAATTTTTGCCAAAAACAAGCTGAGTTAAACTCAAAATGGCATTATTCTAATTTTGAAATGACACAAATTAATCTATCTAATGAGTTTTTGACACTTTTCTGTTTTGTTTATCTCGTCTGATTTTGAGAAATAGTGCAGGATTTAAGTATAAAACAATAAACTTTTCATAACGAAATTTTGTTTTTCCAGAATATTCTAAAACAAGGGAAGAAACTTACACGTATCGAGGACATTTGAATAGATTCATAACGCCCTTGCAGAAAAGCAACTTTTTTTTTTCCTTTTTTTGAAAATCTTTGGCATTTTTTAAAAAAGCTATATTATATACCTTTTTTTATATTTTCTTATTATAAAATTTTGTATTTATAAATTTTACTTTCTTTTTGTATTTTTTTCAATTTGCTTCTATAAATATAAGCAATAAATAGACGCAAAAAACAAATTCTCAGGAATTCCATCGAAAAGGTATTGCAATCGAATGCAAATTGTATTTAGTTACAGAATCCTCAAGATAAAGATCAAAAAAGTCAAATTAAAAATAAATGATTGCATCCGGTAAAATTTTTTTTTTAATGACTATTTAAAGTCACATATTATTATTTTCACTGTTGTTCTTTTAAACTAAGAAACGGCGCCTATTTAAATTAAGATAATTAGTAATCATTGTTTTATTGATTTGCTTAAATCATTACTATCATTTTATGAATTTTAACATTCATACATAAAACTTTTTAATATATATAACAGTTGTGACATTAAAAAACGCAAAAAGCAAATAAAACAGTTTAAAACTTTTAGACTTTTTAAGAGCGTGGGTTAGTTTTTAATCTTTTGGTTTGTGATTACAAAGTAAGAATTTGTTTTGATGACGACATTTTGACACAAGTTCCGTTGAGTAATTCTTGGCGTTTTTGTGTGAAATTATAAGTTTTGTTATAAAGCCATACAATCTCACTATACATAAAGCAAAAATTATTTTTTATTATAGAATGTAAAAGGCTGGGTATTGTTTTAAATTTTTTCTATTCGCTTCCAAAGTGTGATTTATTTTTTCAGTTTTTACTTTAAAAAATATGTGCCTGTATTTTGCAGGTTTTCTCTTCCACTTAATTTCAGATATTTTCATCAAAATATTCAAGAGGTTTTCACAAATTAATTACACAAAAAGTGATATAAGATAAATTAGAGATTAATTAATTTTCTTTGTTCCACTTCAGTCCTCAACAATTGTTTTTTAGGGTACTTTAAAAAAATGTGCTTTTTACCACACGCAGCGAGATATAGCGATGTTTGCTAAAAGGTGAGGAAAAAGTCTCATTGTTTACATTAGATAACATTGGTTAAAAACCTCTTCTAAATGGAATTTATCAGTTCGCCACTTCTCCTGTGTCCCACCTTTCCCTGCTCTCCCCTACACTTTCAGAGGCGAATTTATTATTATTTAACTTACGTAACTTCAAAGACATTTTGCCTATTGTTGTGATTAGCAGGGCCGACGACACGGGTTTTGAAGTGGAAGGGGGGGGGGGGGAGGGGGGAGGACACAATCATCAATTTGCGAAAAAATTTTTCTATATCAAGATTTTTCTTAAAAAAAAGTCCTTAGAAAAAAAGTGTGTGTATGGGGGGGGGGGCACGTGCCCACTGCCTTTCCCCCCCCCCCCCCCTTGGTGTCGTCGGCCCTGATTAGAGCCTGCAAACAAAATTGTTTAAAAAATTTTATGATGAAAGAAATCGTATTTTCAAAATATAAAGTCTAACATCTTAAACTAAATAAATATTTAAGGATTTATAACTTAGTTAAAAACGATTGTTATATTCACAAGTTATACCCATTTAAAATCTACAACTCCATAGTTTTGAGGAGGTTGTAAATTTTATATCTTTTGCACGAAGGGTGCTTAAGTAATGAAACTTTAAATGTATTTTTTAATTTTAATCTCATTTAAGTAAAAAAATAAAAACACAAATCAACAGTTTACGTAACTAAAAAAAATTTTCCTTCATGAAACAATGAATGATAAAACCGAGCCGACGTCATGGAGGGGCCGATGGCACGTGCCCTCCCCCCACTTTTTCTCAAGGTTTTTTTTGTTTGTTATTAAGAAAATTCTAGGTATAGAAGATTTTTTTTTAAAATTGGCGATTGTGTACCCCCATTTCGAATACCGTGTTGTCGGCCCTGTGAAACAATGAACCTTGGTTGTTTACTGATATTGAAATAATATATGTATATATATATATATATATATATATATATATATATATATATATATATATATATATATATATATATATATATATATATATATATATAAATATAAATATAAATATATATATATATATACATATATATATATATATATATATATATATATATATATATATATATATATATATATATATATATATATATATATATATATATATATATATATATATATATAGTAGAAAATAAAAACTACGTGAATTTTACAATTTTAAGTTTCATGCTGTTGCAATCATTAGGTAAAATACAAACATAGTTTGTTCGTTTAAAAAATAATATATAATTGAAACTATACACAAAAAACCTATACGGAAAAAACTAGTACAACATTGAAAACATTATACTTAAAGCTTTTGGATGCCTCTTTGTAGTTATAGCCAGCAGTTTTACCAGGAAGCATCCTGGTAAAACTGCTAGGTAGAACCACAAAGAAGCATTCAAAAGCTTTTTTCTACTAGTAGTTTCAAAAAACAGGTTCTTGGATGCCTTTGCTGTTTATTAATCATATTCAAAATCATGACTTTACAAAAATTAAACTAAAAAATTTAGAATTAATTTAAAACTATTAATAGCAGAGCAAAAGCCGGATTTAATAACCCACTAAAGATAAGCTTTATTTCTTTGCTTACTCTGTAGTCAAACACAGAGTAAGCAAAGAAATAAACACTGTACTTTTGTAAACAAAAGTACAGTGTAGACTATAAACTGTTGCAAAGTATAAGCAAAAAAGTTCAACAGCTAAAAGTTATACAAATACAGTTTACTTCTTAAACAGGCACATTAAAAAACGTTTAATACAAAAAAGTTTTTTTAATGCAAACAAATAGCTAATGAAAATGTATGCGTTTAAATTGTACATAAAAGTCTTGTAGGGTAGTAATCATCCCATTTTAAAGTATTCAAAGTTTATAATGCAAATAAAATTATTATTAAAGTTAATTTTTTACCGGTGCAATAGTGTTATAATCAATTTACAATTTAAATATTGTTTGTAAAATAGGTAGTTTTAATTTTTATCTAGTGATTATAATTTATAGCTCTTTTTTTTATGTTATGCCTTATACATGTCCAAATTAAGGGAAGCTCTTGTTAGGCATCTTTTTGAAAATATCGACACATGTATAAATATGTCTATGTCCAGATATAAATGCTTTATCCAAATCTTTATTTAGGAAGATCCAATTTTTTTAACGAACATTTTGTGATATTTTTTATTGACCATCCAGACAATGATTGCTTTGGAATGCCCTGTTTCTTAGATACGGATGACTTTCCTTTGGCAAATTTTTTAAGTTGTAGTTTTTTTTTTTGCCGATTTCTCTTAGTACCATGTATTTTTCTGTTAGAGTTCTACTTGTTAAATTTCTTTAGCAACCTTTGACATTTTTAATAAATAAAATTCATTCGAAGATTAACCAAATTAAAGATATCAGTGAAAATGTTAAGTAATGTTTAATTACATTTGACGGAAAAGTTTTTTATTTTCGAGCATTCGAAGTTTGGAATTTTTATTGATATAATGGAAGTTTTGTTAAAATGTTTGTACTCATATCCAGTTCAAAATGAAAGTCCTAGTTTAGCAAAGTTTTTTGCCAAAAACAGTACGAGCTAGCTAATAGTTCAACTCAATCAGAGTACGACTTAGAATAATAACAATAAAATAACTACAGTTAAATTTTAAACATGTTTCAAATTTAATTACAGATGTTTTATTATTACTATTGTTGTTGAGTCGATATATAAAAATGAAAAACTGATTGACATACAAAAACATGAATGCAGAATCATTTACTTTAAAAATAAGTGTGAACACATTAAACCTATAATGAAAGAAATGAAAATAATGAACATTTTTGAAATAAATAATTATGTATCGATTCAACAATATTCTTCTGAAAACTTACATGACAAGTTTGAAATAAATAGAAATTAAAACTATTATCTAAGAGCAATTAAAAGTAACACATATAAACTGCTTCAAAACCTTAATAAATACACTCAATACAGCATGGCATAACGAAACCACGTTAAGCTCACATTATACCAGTTTAATGAATTTTTAATCAATTTAAAGTCACCATTAATTTTATACTAATTACTCATACTAACGACACTTGCTACTACATTATGCATGTATACATACTATACAATGACTCTATACATCATATGTACTCCTATAAAAAATTAAAAGAGTTTACAACTCTAACCAACCCTCATTATATACTGCAACAAACTACTTACAGTTAACAACTTACAATTGTTTGCAAGTTGTGAAATTCACTTCACTGAGTGTACTTCACTCAGTGTCCTCGGGTATTCGATACAGTGTTCTGTAGCAATTTTCAGGGATATAGGGATACCCTGAGAAAAATCCTTTTGAGGTAACACAAAGGGATACTCTAAAAAAAAAACACCCTGATCAATACCCAGAGTGGATACTCTTATGGAATACACGTTTTGTATAAAATTACTAGTAGTAAAAGGTCCTCCTGTGTTCATGCTATAACATAAAGCACAAGTTAATACGTAGG